CCCTCCCCCCGTCTATCCAAACTTGAAATAAAATTTAATTGTAAAACGGGCTGTGACACAGCTGAGCGCCTGTGTTAAAACGAGTAACTCCCCTCATGTTCTGGTAGTCTCGTTTGCCATTGCGTAGGTTATAGTTACCCCTGGGGACAGTTGTGGTCCCAGGGTAATCTCCCTCGAGGGTTCCCTTGTTCCACTTACTCGTGGAGCTTAACACACTCCTGTTAGTAGGGTGAGAATGCAAATTAGCATGCACCACTTGCCTTGCATTATCCTTCCCCTCTTCTTGAACCAACCCCAAGGTCCTCTCTACAACAACGTTTTCATTCTCTTCTGGCTTGCTAACCTCCCGTCCATAAGAAGTAATAAAAGGAGTTTTAATAATGCTCTTGCATCTGTGTTGTTTGTCTACGTTGATGTAGCGATGGCCTGGTATTCCTGTCCCTTGAGTTATGGGTTCGAACCTACAAGTGGTAAGTCCGTCTCCAGTATTCTTGTTCAGGAAATTTTCGCTTGGGTGCTGCCCCCCTTGGTGAGAGAAGCGCTGCGCCGGTACCGCCCGCGCATCTTCGGGGAAGCTCCTCAAGCACTCGGGTTCTGCGTTTGGGTTCACTGCGACGCTACGCAGTGGGCTTAAGGAAGCGCCGTGCATGCGACTTAAGGAAGCACCATGCATTGGGCTTAGGGAAGCGGCATGCATGCGGTTTAAGGAAGCGCCGTGCAGTGGACTACCGGGGGGACTATGCATTGGGCTTACGGAAGCGACATGCATGCGACTTAAGGAAGCACCGTGCGCTGGGCTTAGGGAAGCGACATGCATGCGATTTAAGGAAGCACCATGCATTGGACTTCCAGAGGGACTATGCATTGGGCTTACAGGGGGACTAGGCATTGGACTTACGGGGGGACTAGACATTGGGTTCGCGGTGGAACTATACATTTGGCTAACCATGTCTCTGTGTATGTGGTCCATCATGTCCTGGTACGTTTGGTCCGCCCCGTTGTGCCAGACGTCACCGCCAAGCAGGTCGTCGACTTGATCGCCAACCTCACCGCTATGCACCACGCCAACCTCACCAAGCACCCCCCTCGATGGCGGTACCGCGCCCAGGGGCATCTCCTCCTCGTTCTCTGAATCGAGTTCATTGTAGTAAAAGCTACATCGAAATTTTTTAATGCACTCGGTGAGCTCCAGGTATTTCTTTATTTGATCCATGTAGGTTGAAGTGATGTGTGTGTAGGTAGAAATGATTTGATTCAATGCCCCGATTTTATTTGTATAATAATTTATTTTATTCATTAGCTTTTGTTTCTTTCCCTGCTCAAATTGGTCGCAGAAGGTAGGATGGGGGTGCGTGTTGTCCTCCCCCTGCAAGGTTTCCTTGGCATAACCCATTGTGTGGTCATTACGCCGTCTGTCTCTTCTTCCATGGTGTCCTCCTAGCCCCCGACGGGCACTATCGTCATGGCTACGAACACGTCCAATCGGGTTGTCACTTCCTCTACCTGGACTACAACTCCCCACTGCATTGTCCATGCCGTTGTAGCTTATATACTCCAGGTAAAAGATGCACGTCTCCACCTCGAACGAGTAATCCTGCTTTATGCATTCGTAATAAAAAATTCTTTTTAAATAAGTCCTGTAGCTACAAAGTATTTTTATAACATTCATTTTATCACTGTTATTCAAGTAGCAAAAGTGTTCATTTATTTTTTTTATCATTTGAATATTCTGCATTTCTTTTTTCCCTGCTTCTGTGTACAGTTCATTTGTGTTGAACATTGAATGATGGTCTTGTGTATTGACCATGTAGTTCTCCTTTTTATTAACGTAATTGTTGTGGTACTGTTGAGTGGGACTTCCTTGTGGTGCGCTTGCCTCACCGAGTTGACAGTCTCCTCCGTTAACTACATTACGCTTTGTCATACTTCGTGTAAGGGGACGCCGTCTCACAGCGACTCCCCCCATGGGGAAACGTTCCGCCTGCACGTTGGGTGAGGTATGCCCAACCATGCCGCGTCCACTCATACCACTTCCAATCACAGTGTCTACTTTGCGCCCCCGTGTGTCGACCTCAATATACTTTCCCTTATGATCAGTGCCCCGTTGCTCTGTGCATAACCCACCAATGTTGTTATTAGAAATGGACGAGCGGGGCGGCAGGTAGAACTCAGTACTCGACTTTTGCCCCTCTTCTTTCTTGTCCCCATGCCTACCTTCACCGCGCTCGTCGTGTCCGCTTCTGTTCCAACCGCCCTTGTCATGAAGTGCCTCTTGTGCAGAACGCCTGTTGTTAGTCCACCTACTCATGCTCCTACTGCTGTGCCCCTTGTTTGGGTTCTGTCTCACGCGCCCCTGCCCGAGTATACACTCGTACACGATCTTTTCCTGTTGAGGAAACTTTTTCTGGTAACTCACGTCCTTGGTAAGGCCGGCCGCCGCGTCCTTCCCGCCAACGGGTGAAGCGGCAGGAGGAGAAGCAGGTGTGTTAACAGGAGAAGCGGCAGGAGGAGCAGCAGATGCTTTAACGGGTGCGTTAACAGGTATGTTAACAGGAGCAGCAACAGGTGTGTTAACAGGTACGTTAACAGGTGCACTAACAGGAGCAGCAACAGGTGCGTTAAC